ATGGAGGGATGGACACTGGGAAGAGGGAACCATGGGGAGGAAGTGGGAAGGGAGCTGTTGCATTGTGGTAAACTGTGGTCAATGTCATGAGACAAAGTGTATGTGAACTGCTGTATGGAAAGTGAATTTGCTCTATAAATTTTCACCCAAATCACAATTTAAAAAAAAAAAGAAAGAAAGAACCGGGCTGAGCAGTGACTCGGTTGTGAGGAGCGGGCACAGCTGTGGGATGAACTGCAGTGGCCCAAGTTTCGCTCTCACCTGACCTCCAGATCCTCCAGACATGCGGATTTCGTTCCCGGGGTTGTCACACTGAATGAAAGAGAAAAGGAAGACTATCTCAGTCCCCTCCCAGCCACCAGTTCCAGCCCCCAAATTGAAGCATTTTAACCCAAGGCTAGCCCACGAATGCTCCCCCTCAGCAGCAAGCCACCCGTCACCCTCAACCTCAGCCATTGCTCTCCTGTCACCCCAGTGGTCTGAACTCCTCCTATTTTTCTTCCCACAGTTTGAAGGCAATTTGTGCACACATTTTCAGCTCACCACACACTCACCCCAGGTTTACTGCTACCACCGTTTCCACCACTGCTACCTGAGGAGAAGCCAGCGTTGGATCCCTACAAAGGAAAGCGGGAGTTCATGTGGTGTTTTATCACACAGCTCCCAGCAGTACTAGGAATCTTTTAAAATCTCCAATCTGACTCCAGCCAGCTCCCCAGCCTCCATACCTCCCCCATCTTTAGCCAATTGGTCACCAAGGGAAGTTATTTTGAGCACAGAGAAGGCCAGTATGGTAAAGTTATTTGGAAATGTACAATGCTTTGGGTAATCTGAGCTGTTGCCCTCACCTCCAATCACAGGCTAAAATCAAAATTTACTTTTCTTCCTCAGAGCAGTGGAGGGTTCAAAGCACCAACCTTTTGGTTAGCAGCCAAATGCTTTAACCATGACACCACCACAGCTCCTTAGGGTATGAAAAGACTCTGGAGCCATGTTGCATACAGGCTCAAATCCTTGCCACTAGGGGGCAGGCTGGGACTCCTTCTGCCTTTCCCCTTCCTCTCACCTCCCCCTCGGAATCCAGAAAGGGAGAGTCCTTACCTGGGAGCCTGAGTTGCCTGTTTGATCAAAATCCCTAGTACCTTCTAAGGGCTGGTCCTAGATGGGGAAAAGGGGTGGTAAAAAAGAGTGGTGAATGGAAGCAGCTTATGTTATTTGGCTTGCCACTGTACTTCCTCTTGGCTGAATCCTTTCCCAGGCTCCAGGTGTGGCCCCCTCTCTTGGATCAGCCAGGCCATGGCTCCCCTCCTGGCCCGCTCACCCATCGTGTGGGAGGACTCATGTGGGCACTGTATTTATTAGTGTCCTCAACACCAAGCTCTGCAAATTTCCTTAAATCTTCATGTGTGCAGCCCTCATTCTTCTGGGAGCTTCCCAAGGGTAGGGAACAAATGTATATTTTTCCATGCCCATCCCTCTTTTAGCATCTGCCGCCCCAGCTCTACTCAGACTTCTCAGGTGGACATGAACTGCAGGAATGGACGTTAGACGGGAGACGGAATCCCTCCACCATCAGGAAGTGGAAGATAAGGGGAGAGAGCAAGCAGAAAGCAGGAAGGCATCTCTTCTGGAAAAATCATGGTGCCCATGTAAGGAACAGTGTTTGGTTGGGGCTGGGAAGGTGGGGAACAGAGACTGAGGAAGCCAAGGTAACAGTTGCCAGTGATGCCAGCCACCCCAGGGTCGCAGGGCATTCAGGAAAACCTCAGAGTGCTTCTCCCCAGCCAGGACCACCAGGGAGAAGCCTCAGCCCCATCTGTGCTTTCAAGGAAGCAACAAAACTCACCCAGCTGGCCTCTGAGCTGCCTCTGCCACTGTCGCCACCACTACTACTGCTACTCTCCTGTGAGCTAGTGCTGCCCTGAGAGGCAGGAGGAGACCAAAGCCAGGACTAAAGATGAGACCCTAAAGATTGCCTCCCACGCTCCCCTTTCTCTGGCCAGGGAACTTTCTCTAGTTCCTGAGTGTGCCTCAAGTTGCCCTTTTCTTCTTACCCCAGAATTGCTAGAGCTTCCACCTGAGCCAGAAGGTTGGAAGTTGGTGCACTGCAGAGGGAAGGCAACACGTGAGTTTAGATGTCGTCAGTCAAGGCCTTCTCCACAAGCCAGGCCCGCCCTTCTTCTACTGGACTTTCTCTCCCCTAACATGTCACTGCCACATCCACTTCTCCTCATTTCCCTCCTTTGTTCCTGTCCTTCCCACACCCATCTGTCCTGTCCCATCGTCCTCTTACCCCAGCCCCTCCATCTTTCTTTTGCACTTTGTCTCTTTCCCCTCCTTTCCACCACATGTATCAGACACCCCTTTCCTCTCCAGACCCTCCCTCTTACCTCGATATTCTGGTTGCCACTGCTCCCTCTCACTGACTCGTAACCAGGTTGGGCCACAAACCCCTGCAGGGAGAGAGAGACTGAGTGTGAAGTCAGGAAGGACAGAGAGAGGAATGAGGAGTGGTGGCTTGGAGAGAGGAAGGTGGCTGGTGTCAGCGCTAGGTGATTACTTTACCTGAGCATTGGGTCCTCCATTGCTTCCTTGACCCCAGGAGCCTCCCTGAGAGTTGGTTCCAAAGCTGCCGTCTGAGCCGCTGGGCTGTCCGTAGCCCCAGGGCTTCCCTGCTTCTCCAGGATTTCCCTGGCTGTGGCCACCGAGGCCACCCTGAGAGCCAGAGGTGCCATGGCCTCCTCCAGGCTGGCCATTGGTTCCCTGCAAGGACACCACACCTGCACTTAGTGTGACCATCTCTGACTCTGGGTGGCAGGGAAAGGGCAGACATAGCAACCATAAAATAGAAAGAGAAATATAGGAAGAGAGCCCAGGGAGGTGGAAGAAGGATGCAGACCATATAAAGAGATTGCTCCCAGACAGCCATTCATCCATCCAAATGTTTCCCAACATTCTCAACCCAGCTGCCCATAACCTCTCATTCCACAGCGGGCTTCCTAGCCACTCACCCAAGCACTGTTACTGCCAGGCACCCCTTGCCAGGAGTTGTGGGCAGCATCTATCCCATGTCGGATGGTATCCTCAGCCTCTCTGCCGATCTCACCCCCAGTGTTTCCAAGAGCATGGGCTACTTCCCCAACCCCATGGTTGATGGCTTCTTCTACCCCAGGGTCCATAGCCTGCCTGACTCCAGAGCTGGCCGCCTCTCCAGCCCCACCCCCAAAGCCGGCCCCCATGCTTGCTGCAGCACTCTCCCCTCCACTGAGCAGTGGGCCAGCCTCCCCACTGCCCAGGCACAGGGCCAGCAGGAGATAGGCTAGGGACCCCTGCAATTTCATTTCTACCTCACTCCCTCTCCCTCTCTCTCCTGAGTGTCGTCAGGAGTTTGATTCTTTCTACCCTTTGTCCTCCTCTGTGTCTGCACGTCCTCCTCTGTCTTTTCTTCCTTCTGACCTCTTGTTCCTCCCTCCTTCTGGGTCTGCAGCCCTCTCTCTCCTTTCCCAGACTCCCCTGGCTTCCCAGGGTTCTCCTCCCCGTCTCTACTCCTTATACTGTGGCCCTGGGAGGAGAAGGTGACAGGGCTGGGCAGCCCAGAGTCCCTCCCCCAGTGACTCAGGGCCCAGCCACGGATAGGGTAATGAGCTGTAATTGTGAGTTTGGGAATCTGTGTTGAAATAGAGAGGGAGACATGTATCAGAGGGAGGGAGAAATGGGATGAGACTGGTGCAAAAATGTTCCTGGTTTCTCAACCCCAGGAATTTGGGGCGCAGGGTGGGGATAGGGGCATCTGAGGAGATAGGCTGTTGGTGTTTCATGGAGGTGGAGAGTGGGAAGAGAGACACCTGAGAGGGAAAAATTAGAGTCAGCAACCCACCAGAGCAGCAGGGATGGGGAGCCCAGCAGAATAGGACCCAGCGAAGGCTGGGGAGAGGGGCACCAGGATGATGGCAGGTGCCTTTTCTCGGTGTCCCTCGCCCTCTCAGTTTCAGAGGCCTTTGTCTCTCATCTCTCTCCCTCCCCACACTATCACTTAAAGGTGGCTGCCCTCACACTCTTCTGCACCTTCCAGCCCACAGGGAGAGACTGGAAGCAATGAGGATTGTTCAGGGTTCTGGGGAAAGCCCTCAGTGAGGACCCTAGGTGTCGGGAAAGGATGTGGCTATGACCCTAAGAACGGTCACCAGGGTGTCTCAGCTTAGTATGCAGGCTGCTCTTGGCTGGAAAAGCTGGGTGCGGAGCAGGGGAGCTGGGGCGGGCCAGCCACCCGCCCCCGGGAAGGAGTGGGAGGGAAAGATAAAGGGAGGGACCAGCTGACCATCCTGTTTACCCAGACGAGGGGGCACGTGTGTGTGAGCTCACGGCCTCCTGTGAGGGGTGGGTCTGCTCCCACTCACCCCACCCCCCAGTCTTTGCCAGGGGCCTGGGTAGCACTGGCAAGGAAGGGGGGTCAGCAAAAGGACAGAGCCTGCTAGACCATGGCCCTCTCTCCCAGTCTCGGCTGGGGATATAGAACTCAGGCATTCTCCCTGGTCTCATCCCTGCTCAGCAAGTGTGGCCGCTTCTCTATTCCCAGCAGCCCCAGGTCCTCCCACTTGGCACTGTCTTGTATCACTGGGATTCATTGCTGAGTTAGGAGGGGCCGGTTTCCATCCGCCTTTCTCAATGTCTCTCAGTCAGTCTCTTCCTCCCTCTTTCTCCACCCCCCCAAAACACACATCCTTACCTGTAACATCCAGACACTTCTTACCACGTAAACACAAGCCCTGTCTGTCCTCCTCAGCTTCTGCCTCCCTGTTGTTCCATCTCTGACGCTTTAATGATGGTGATCGTGGTGGTAATTATTATTATTATTATTATCACTATTATTATTGCAGCTCCAGTTTATCATGGAGCTTCTATGTGCACAGCACTAGGCTAAGCACTTTAAAGCTTATGAAGCCCTAGAGACAGAGCTTATTATGTTCCTATTGAGGGACGTAGGAACTGGGGCTCCGAGCAGACATAGTGAGTACATGGTGAAGGAAAGGGCCAGTTCCAGACCTGCCTCAGTCCTAAGCTATGGCTCCCAAGCATTATCTGCTCCCAAGCTGTGTCTCCTACCTCCCCCGGCCTTCAAAAGCCTCCTAGTCATCCTCTGGGGAGCTCTGGTAGCATAGTGCCTAAGGCATTTGACTGCTAACCAGAAGGCTGGTGGTTGCTCTGAGCTCTGGCATTTAGCTGCTAACCCAGAAGGTCAGCAGTTCAAACCCACCAACTGCTTCGTAGAAGGAAAATGGGGTGTTCTACTTCCGTTAAGATTTACCACCTCAGAAACCCAATGGGGATCACTATGAGTCCTGTGGATAGAAGTGGTCTTGGTTTGTGTTTTACCCTAGGAGCCATGTGTGAGGAGAGGGAGGATGGCTCACTTCAGTCTGAGCCTTGCAAGATAGGGGGTAGACTTGCCCTTTCCTGCTCCCATGCTGGGATCATATGGCAGGATGAGGGGCCTTGAGTAGAGCACTTGCTGACTCAAAGACGTTCCTTCGCAATGATTTATATCTGCCCTCTCAGTCTCTATTACCAGTATTTTATATCACTGCTGTTAAATGGTAAGGCAAGATCACGTGTCCATAACTAGAAGGTACCAGAAAAATACAGTGAGAAGCAAATGGTGGTAGCTGGTTGCAGTTCCTGCACCCTTTGTTAAAAGGGAGATTAGCAAGTATGAGAGAGGTGTTCAGGGAACACCAGCACAGAAATTGTCTTGCTCTTTAACATAATCAGAAAGCCTGAAAGACAATTAAGAAGAGAATAAGTTTTTTACTGTGTGATTCGGCATTACTAAAAGCCATATGCACAAACTGCTGAAATTCCTCCATGCCACCAGTAGTCCATATTTTACTTTTTGGGAAAAACTGCTTTCAAACATCAGTAGAACTGAGGAACCACTTCAAATCAGACTTAAGACACATTTATTAAATACTTATTGTGAGCCAATAGAATATCAGGTGCTACACATGCATGATCTCGTTTAATCCTCACTACAACATCAAGGGTTGTGTTGTTGTTGTTATTGAGTCGGCCCCAACTCATAGCGACCCTTCCTTGGGTTTCCAAAGTGGTATCACTTCGGAAGTAGATTGCACAACTTTCCTTCCGAGAAGTGGCTGGTAGGTTTGAACTGCTAGCCTTCTGGTTAGTAGTCAAGTGCCTTAGGCACTACGCTACCAGAGCAGTTAAACATCATATACAAGATCATCTGCGAAAAAAGTCAGGCAATGGAGCTGTTGGAGTTTGACTGAGGACTGTGTGGTGGACCCACAGTGCTTTTCCTCCTGTGTCGCCATGCCTTGTGCTGGTATACACTAGCGTCTACAACTCTGACATGCCCGCATCATGCCCAGACTCCTCTACTTTCAGGTTTTTCTCCAGCTGAATACTTTATTCATTCAACAAATATTTGTTGAGTGTCTACTCTGTACCAAACCTATTCTAGGCACTAGGGATACGGCACAGAACAAGGTCATCAGAATCACTCTACTCAGGGAGCTTGCATTCATTCATCATGGGGGAAGCTGGACAATAAACATCAGGTAGTGATGAAAACTATGAAAAGAACTACAGTGGGGTGAGGAAACAGAGAATGATGGAGGAGGTATTTTAAATAGGGCGGTAAAGAAAAGGCTTTTTGAACTGAGACCTGAAGTAAATGAGAGGATGAGATATGAAGGTTTCTGTGTACAGTGTATTCCAGGCAGAGGGATAGCAGTGCAAAGGCCCTGAGTCAGGAGCTTGCTTGGTGGATTTGAGGACCAGTATGCTAGGAGCAGGGGGAAAATGGGAGAAGATGAAATTAAAGAAGTAATTGGACCAGACTGTGGGGGCTTGGGAGCCATTGTGAGGACTTGGGCTTTTACTCTGAGTTGGTTGAGCCAGAGAAGGGCTCTGAGTTGAGGAAAGCTGTGATCTGACTCAAGTTCAATGCTCGAGTCTTCTGGGAAGTTGACCAGGGAGGAGGCTGCTGCCATAGGCCAGGCAAGGAGGATAGAAGTTGGACCCAAGGGTAGTGGTGAGACAGGGCTCTGGGTTTGGGTGAGGTCTCTGCTCTCTTCTATGGGGTCCTAAGATGCCTCCAACTGGCATCTTCAGATTTACCTTGTCCACAGTACCCACTGTGGACCCTAGGTTTAAATCCACCACTTACTGGCTGTGACCTTAAGCAGTGTATGCAACAGTTCCTCATCTGTCAGAAGGGTTCAGTGTGAGGACGGAATAAGATAATACATAAAAAGAGGGTAATTCATGTAAGGACCTCAGAACAGCGCCTGGCACACAAGAGCACGTCGTACATGTTCTTGTTGGTGTGGGGCATGTTGATGTTGTTGGGGGGTTTTCTTGGCAATTGTTTAATTTTAACATCTCCTGAAAGGGCCAAGGAAGATGGGGCAATCTACTTCCGTAGTGATACTGCCTCGGAAACCCAAGTAGGGGTCGCTATGAGTCTGGTCTGACTCCACAGCACACAACAACAACAACAACAACACCCTTACCTGAGGGTACAGTGAAGTGTGCCTCCTTACTAGCAGAGATTATCAGCAGTAAAGTTCTCTCAGAAGTGAGCATGGCAAAACTTCATTTTATATGCTCTGGACATGTTACTAGGAGGGCCCAGTCCCTGGAATGGAACTGTGCATGGTAAAGTAGAGGGTCAGAGAAAAAAAGGAAAACCCTTAGTGAGATGGATTGACACAGTGGCTGCAACAGTGGTCTCAAACAGCCACAATTGTGAGGATGGCGTAAGACAGGGTATTGTTTCATTTTGTTGTACATGGGGTCATTAGGAGTTATTAACAACCTGCCAATTCAACAGCACTTAACAACAACAATAAAAGTTCTCTTGAATTGGAGACTCACCACCACCACCATTTAACAAGCTGGGTGGCCTCAGGTAACTCTCCCCCTTCACTGAGGCTCAACTTCATCATATGTAAGGGAGACCATCATGGAACCTGCTTCGTGAGGTGATCATGAGGATGGCATGAATCATATCAGTAAGTGCTTAGCACAGGTGAGTGAGCACCCAATAAAAGGTGGCTGTGAGAGTCCCACCCAAACTCTGCTCCCTGTTCTTCAACTTCTGCAAAAAAATGACCCTTTCCTCTTTATTACTGCCTAGACTTGCTCCCCCCATCTTGGTCCAAGCAGCCTATTTCTTTCCCACACTTACTCCACAGCCTTCCCAAAGTCTTCCCCTCTATTAGTTGCAGACATTTGTGCCTGGCTTCAACTTCCTCTCTTTAACCTCTTAGACTAAGGGTAAATGGATATTAAACAAGTAATATATTATTACAAATTG